TACACAAGACACGATTCACGCGTCATCTGTCAAAAAGATACTAGTAAAAAAATCACAAATTATTACTAACCAGGATCAACTGGTTCAGAAAAGTTCAATATTGCCTTATAACTAAGCGTATACTAGTTATACAAAACACATGAACTTCTGTCTGCGATTGTCAAAAATTTTCACACCTACTTACATACAGGGTGGCCCAACATATTTTGGGAAAAAGGCTCGGACACGTCAATTTTTATTTCTAGGGGAGGCGTCATTTCATCTATAGCCGTACAATAAGATATTGCGTTACACTTTAGATTTTTAGCATCAGTCAGTGGTAATCGTATGTCATAGAAAAACGTCGTCTTTCATTTAAAATTGTTAAGTTACCGACCTGTTCTGATAAATATTGAACAATGACTTATTCAATTCAAGAAAGGCTAGAAATAACAAAACTGTATTACCAAATTAAAGCATTGCAAGAGCTACTGCCCTGGCGTTTAATGCGTTACATTCAGACAAAAATATTAACGATTGTATGTGACTAAGCTGATAAGAAAATATAAAGAAACTGGATCTGTGTCTAATATTCGCCGAAATGAAGCCGCAGAAATAGCAGTTTTGGGAGACGTAGAACTTGACAACACCCAAAGCACTCATGGACTGGTTACTTCTTTAGGATTTATATGCTCAACAGTACAGAGAATTTTTAAAGACAATAATTTTCACCTGTACAAGTTAAACTTGTCCAAGAGCGATTTTGATAGGAGATTGGAGTTTTGCGAATGTATGTCCCAACTTTTAATCAACAATGCAAATCTGTTATTTAATATTTGTTTCTCGGATGAGTGTACGTTATATTTACATGGTACTGTAAATAGACACGATTTTCGATGTTGGAGTACCCCAGTACTTTAACTTTAATGTACGTGTAAACTGGACGGCTTTTTGCAGAAAAGAACGAACCCAGAAAAACAATTATTGAGCAAATAAGCTTTGAAGTTGATTGATAACAAATCCATTTCAGACAAAACACGATTTGGCATACTAAAGGCTTTAAATTTGTGTATTGTAAATGGTATTGCTCGTAATAGTTTATTTTCCTAAAATCTAGATTTTTCATATTTTGTGGGATGGTTCCTTTCTGAAAAAAGCCGTCCAACTGTAAGTTGCAGTTTGTTTTTTAATACTCGGAGACTTGTTTTTGTCATCCTAAAAATCAAAATTGACGTGTCCGACCGTTTTTCACAAATGGGGTGCGACCTTTTCGTTGGGCCACCCTGTATAACTCAAAGCAATCCTAGCTACATGCAGGCCTTTATTTGTAAATCTTAAATCAATGACTGTCGTATCATTGTCCATTTTAGAAACAGCAACTCTTATTTTTTTAAATAAATCTAAATTTGGAAAGATTAATATAAATTACAATATTAGACGAAAACAAGATCTTAAATTAGTTGTACCTAAATCAAAACTAGTGAAAGATCCAATAATTTATAATGGTCTGAAAATTTACATGTGTCTCAAAAAAATGAACAATTTAAAGATATTCCGCCGTGAGCTTAGAAACGTTGAAATATGTAAACCATATTATACCAGGTGTCAGTTCTACAATTCACCTACTTAATATCCACATACAGTAGCGGACAAAAGTTTGTAAACATTTTTAGTAACTTTTAAAAAGAGCGCTAATCTTTTATCCTCTAGTATTAAGAACTTTTTTTTCTCGTATAGTTTGCTTACAGTCTTGAGGATACTAATGACGATTTGTGTTTGCTGTGGTACTACAGACTAGCAGTAAAATGCCTTCATATTATTTTATGACCAAAAAATGAGACGACAAAAGTATGGAAACATATGTTTTATTATAAATTTAAATACAGTAACTCTACAAAAAGATCTAAAAAATAGTGTTTAGCTAATATTTGGTAGCATAGCCTTTAGCATTCAACACTGCCTGGTATCTGCTGCTCATATAACACACCAATTTTTTACAGACGTCTATTGGGGATCAAATAAATCGTTCCAATTTTGAAAAGTTTTTCTTGTCAGTTGTCTTTTAACATGCTCCCAGGTTTAGGTCCGGGGATTGCGATTGCGAAGGCCATCTAAGAACATTAACATGTTTTAGTCTTAACCAGTCCTTTACGAATTTTGAGGTATGCTTGGAGTTATTATCTTGCTGGAATGTCCATCGTAACGTAGTATTAGAAATATCTATTTAGCACATTTGGCTACATAAACAGAATAATAATTGTAAACAACGTAGAATTAGTAAATTCAAGCCATATGATGTATGATATAAATGCTGGGCAAGCTATAATTGTATATTTTACAAGTGATTCCTCAATTTTACTTTAAATTTTGTTTTCTGGGCTTTTATCTCTGGGTATGATTTATTATATTCAATCAACCCTTGATGGAATTCAGATTTTTAGCATATGTTACACTTTTTGGTCATTAAATAGAAGTCATCTTTCTGGTATTACGTAAATGATGGTCGGCATTTGATGATGTTAAATTAGTTAGACTTGATGGAAATATATTATTTTTTACTTTATAAATAAATATCATTACAAGATATTTGATAAAAATTTTTACATTGTGCCATTTTAATTTGCTAAGCATTTGTCTAATTTTAGTATATTTATCTTTATTCAGTATTATTCTCATGCACTTATTTTGTAAAATTTGCAGTCTTTCAAAAATGGAATTATTTGCTAAATATAGAATAGTCGAACAGTACAATAAATTTGGAAGAATGATGGTATTATAGACCATTTTTCTGCTATATGAACTCAGACATCCAGAAACTCTTGATAAATATCCCACTTTACTGGTAATCTTATTTATAACTTTTTCATAATGAATATCAAAAATTAATCGAAAGTCAACAAAAACCGCCAGGTATTTAAAATTTTCTATAAATTCTATATCTTCACCATCAATACTCAGTTGAACATTTATACTTTGTTTTTTTTTTTCATTAACACAGCTTTCGTTTTACTTGTATTCAATTTGAGTTTGTTAGATACTAACCATTTTGAGACAAGTTTGATGTCTTCATTTATATAAGAGATACCAGTCTGAATATTTTTAGTACTTATATAAATCATAGTGTCATCGGCGAAAATCTGACTTTAGCATTTTTTGACTATGGCAGGTAAATCCTTTATGTATAAACTAAAAAAAAGTGGTCCCAGGATACTGCCCTGTGGAACACCCAACGTATTTTCAATTTTTGATGAAATAGTGTTACTAACTTTTGTAACTTGCATCCTTTTAGACACATCATTTCTAAACCAATCTAAAACACTTCCTGATATACCATATGCCTTCAATTTACCTAACAAAATATCTCTATCAATCGTTTCAAATCCCCTCGTCAAATCCAAAAATACTGCTATGACAACTTCTTCTGAGTTTATGGCTCTTCTCCAATTCTCAGTTACCAACTGGAAAGCCGTTTCTGTGGAATATTTTTTTCGAAACCTTGCTTGCGCCTCCACTAAAATTTCTGTTTTCTTCTATAAACTGCATTAATTGGTCATGCACTATGTACTGTAATAATTTTTCAATCTGTGGTAATACATTTACTGGTCTCATATCGCTGCATCTTTTAGAATTTTCTATTTTGGGAACTGGTGTTATTGTAGAGCATTTCAAATTTTCAGGAAAAGAACTGCTTCTCAGTGAACAATTGATCCAATTTAATACAGGATATCCCAAAATTTCGAAACAGTTTTTTAGCACGTTTTTAGTAATGATTTCGGCACAGTTGTTGTTTGGTTTTAGACTGTTTACTTTTTTCTCAGATAAGTCAATGATACGCTTCGAAATTTTCAAAGTATATGCAACACTTTTCCCTGGAAACTGATTTTAATATAGTCCGGTGCAGCGTTGGCAGTACCCACAATATCAACAATACTTTCCACAAAATATTCATTTAGTTTGTTTCCAATCACCAAAGAAGTTGTTTCGGCATTCCTTCTTCAGCAAAAAGGAACGTACTAAGAATATCTTTGTATGTAAAGTTTTTGATCCATTTTCCCAACAATTTTAACAATTGGGCCCGTTCCAGAACTAGAAAAACAGCCCGGAACCATAATGTTGTTTATACCGTGCTCAACTGTTGGCGACTGATACTTTTTGTCGAATCTTTTTCGTATTGGACGTCTCACATATGCCGTACTTTTAGATCCGAAAAAGTTAAATTTACTTTCATCGCTTTAATTTTTTTTTTTTTAATGAGAGGCTTTTGCACTGGACGCCTACCAAAAAGCCCAAAATCCACCAAGAGTGTCTACACTGTTCTGACAGAAAGATTCTCGGCACCCTATTCTACGATTCTTTTGAAAATCTGTGTGACTGGCATTCGAGGATCTTCGTGGGACAAACGTTTAATGTAGCGATCCAAAACATAATCGTTTTTTTTTTTCGGTCTTCCGCACCTGGGCCGCGTTGCTGTTGATCCGCAGTCTTGATATTTCCTATTAATTTTCGTAATCATCCCTTTGTTCCTTTTTAATCTTTGAGAAATTTCAACATTTCTAACACCACTTCTAAATAATTCAATAGCTTTGTCTCTTAAATCTTAAATTCTTTTACTTTTGCCATTTTCACTGATGATAATATTTACCGCACGCAATAAATACGGCAAAACTGAAATGTTTCCATACATTTGCCATTAGAAAAACTGTGGTATTTAAAAAAAACGCGTATTTTTATTTTCAGAGAATTTTAATATTGATATGATGAATCTTGTATTAGTTTGGGAGCCAAAGGTAGACTTTGATATTTATATTTTCTGTTCCTTCGCAATTTTAATTTAGGTATATGAAATAGTTCATAATAATGTTAATATTTGTTTATACATTTTTGTCCCCTACTGTACGTAATCATGTTATAGTTTAGTTTAAGGATTGCTGTCATCAAGAATGATTGCATTCTTCAAACAATAAAGCATATCAATCTAACTAAATTGTCAATCCAAGCTGATCGTTTCAATTTTTCCGTAGATTTCAAAATACAACGTCTCCTACACACTCTGGGGTGGATAAGAGCGCTACTAGTCCTCCAGCGTTTGAAAAAAAGGTTAATCTTAACCTCACCGCTAATGCCGTTGTATCATCGCCAAGCAAAAAGCAGAACAAGGTGCTCAAAAAAGTCGACTTGGGTAAGAAATTCTTGATGTTCGTTTAATACCTTGAAGATTGAATGAATGTGTCATATAGTTTTGGAAACGGTTGTGGAGTTTCAGGAGCACCGCATGAGCTTAAACATAACCTCGTTGAATGCCAAGCAAGCGTTTATATTTTGTTACTAAACTAAACCGTGTTAGAAAAAATTAAAACGATTTTGGGAAAATTCAGTTTTTTTTGTCTCTCTCCGAAAGTACTCTGAATTTCGAAACTTTCAAACCGGTATTTCGTTGGCTACCTAAATACTAACTTTGCCCCCATTTGAGCGACTTCGTATACCGTTTCCGGATCCCAATGGTGAGGGTCCAATAAGTACCACGACAAACTTAAGGAGAAGGTAGGCTTTGAACTGACCTCCCAAATAACAAAAACTTACCTATATAAGAGTGGCACTGTTTTTGAGATTTTGAATTTTTTCTTAAATTTAAGAATAACTAACCTTTTCATCTGTGGTCTTTAGCTCCATGTACAGGGTGCGTCACCTATTACTTTTTTTCTATTCTAAAATCAACACGCTTTTTACGAGGTGAAATCGATTTTTTTTTATTGATAAATGAAGGTTGGTTGATGCCATTTATTTATGAAAAATAACATCAGTCATGTAACCACCGTGGCTTCGTTTACTTTTCCCAGAATAATGGGTCTATGGCCGCAATTTCAGTCCGAATATTGCGCTTTAGGCCTTGAATTGTCCGGGGACCATTCGCATACACTTTTCCTTTCAAAAATCCCCAAAGAAAATAGTCATTGAGGTGTTAAATCGCACGATCTCGGGGTCCAACTTACATCTAAATTTCGTGAAATTATGCGGTCTTGAAATTTCGTGTGCAATAAGGCGATTGTTTGGCGAGCCGTTGCTCCGTCTTGGTGAAACCAAAGATCGTCGGCACCAATACGATCCAAATGTGGACACAAAAAGTCTGTTAACATGCCGCGATAACTTTCCTCGATGACGGTAATGGCCTTTTCTTCGGCATCTTCAAAGAAGAATGGTTCACCGATGCCACCAGCCCATAATCTGCACCAAACAGTCACTTTTTCAGGATGGAGAGGTTGTTCATGATATTTGTGTTTTTCAGCCCCCCAGAATCTGCAATTTTGCTTTTTACGTACCCATTGAGGTGAAAATGAGCCTCATCAAAAAAGAGCACTTTGGTTGAAAATCCCTCTTCTCTTTCCAGCATCCAATTAACAAAAACACGCCGCTGTTGATGGTCTGCCGGCTTCAATTCTTATGTTAGTTGGATTTTGTATGGAGGTGTAAATCCATGTGAAAAATCCGGCGTAAAGTGGTCTCACTAATTCCCAATGGTGCCTATACTACAACTATTTAAAACTGTAATGACTCATACGCGTGATCAACACGTGATCAGAGCTCGATCCCGGCTTCCTTCCAGTACAGCCGTATAGCGTACGACATATGTCGTTTCTGTGGCTTTGCGGTGGTCAACAGCACAGACAGAGATGGAAATAATGGCTGATTGTTCTCCGCCGGTAGAACCAATGAAATCAAAGACGCGCCTCGACCGGCAGACTCATAGGCGTCGGCAACGCATTGGAACGTGTTTCGTTGAGCGATCGCATATTGTGTGTTTTTATAAGAATTGTTGTGTGATTGTTATTGTTGTGGTTTCTGTGGTTACTGTTTTGGTTATACTTAACCATGGAGAGAACAAATGGCACGAGTGGAAGTACTGAAAGCCAGGGAACAAGTAGACGGCTTCGAAAGGGTCGAGGGACGCGAAAGAAATCGTGCTCAACGTGTTCAATTATCTGAACAGAACTATGTCGCAAGGAGATGCACTCGCGCGTTGTGAAAGTATGACAGGCGTTCCAGAGTGGACCATTCGCAGGGTGGTGCATGAAAAGAAGAAAACTGGAGCTACTACTGATCCAAAGTTAAATTTGAAGGGACCAAAGGCCGTTAAATTGGATGACGATAGCAAAATGGCGTTAAGGCGAACCGTACATTCATTCTTCTTTAGGAATGAGATACCAACCCTCAAGGCTGTACATGCAGCGATCAAGGAAAATGAAATTATACCCCAAATGAGCGTCGAGGTAATGAGGAAATCCCTGCACGAAATTAATTTTCGTTACGAAACGCGTAATCGAAATGATTGAATATAGGCGACAAAGCAGAAAAATGTATTATTTGGACGAGACATGGGTAAATGCAGGTCACCCAGTTAAAAAAACCTGGATAGACAAAAATGTAGTGAGTAACCGACAAGCAAGCATTGAAGGTTTGTCAACAGGTCTTCGTGGACCGTCAGGGAAAGGTCAAAGATTGATCGTAACTCATATTGGTAGCGATAGTGGCTTTTTAGAAGAGTGTGACTTGATTTTCGTCTCTAAGAAAGGAGGTGATTACCATGACGAAATGAATGCCAGCTGCTTCGAGAGCTGGTTTCAAGTGGTGCTTCAGCGAGTTGAGCAAAACTCTGTGATCGTCATGGATAATGCTTCCTACCATAGTCGTCGAGCCGAACGTGTACCGACTATGGGATCTCGAAAAAGTGACATGCAGCAATGGTTGCGCGAAAAAGGAATTCCGTTTGACGATTCATGTGTGAAAGCGGAATTGTATGAAATTAAACAGCACAAACCTGCGAACATTAGTTACGTGACTGATGAGATGGCCGGTCAATGTGGTGTCACTGTGCTGCGGTTACCGCCCTACCACTGTGAACTGAACACAATAGAGCTCATCTGGGCTCAAGTGAAGGGTTATATTGCGCGCCATAACACAACCTTCAAATTACCAGATGTTAATGTTTTACTTGAGACTTCCATACAGCTAGTAACGCCCGAAGCTTGGCAGAATGCTATCCGTCATGTTGTGAAGGAAGAAACAAAAATGTGGCAGCTTGACCACCACATCGACACCATCATAGAGCCAGTTATAGTCAATTTCAACGAGGAAAGCGATAGCGACAGTTTATTACTGTCAGATGTAAGTGGAAGCGACGATGAATAAAGGTAATTCCCAAATTTTTGACTTACAATATGTTTCAAACCACTCTTTATTAAGCATGTGACAAATCTAGTTCACCCATGTTAAACATTCATACCCCGCCTATGAACAGCCGACTACTGGTAGTTAAGTGATGTTCACGTGAACATCGATGAGTCATTACAGTTTTAGATAGTTATAGTATAGTCGAGGTGGTTAGATCTTCTTGCACACTTTCACTCACTGCGGCTATGTTTTCACAAGTACGAGCTGGACGAGCATGTTGGTATGGTCTACGACCTCAGCTGAACCAGTTTCCTCAAAACGATTAACAATCCAACGAATTCCAGGCCCGGTAGGGCGTCCATGTCGGCCAAAACTAGTGCGAAGATTGCGAAAACTATTTTTTATATTTCGACCGTTTTCGTAATAAGTTTGGATAACCAAAACGCGTTGTTGTGTTGTAAACGAATCCATGACTATAAATGGCATACCTTTGACAGTTCATTTATGTATACCACATGACTTTTGACTCACATCGTAACACATAAACTTATAGGTAAATAAATGGTAATAGATGGCGCACCCAGTACAAATAAGATTATACTTTGTTCATTTTTTCTATAAAATACTTCTAGATAGTTGCTTTATCATATACAAATGCAATGTAGTTAAATGATATTAAGGAACCATGATAAAATGACTGTTTTGGGATTTATAACCTTCGGATATTATTTCCTCAACTTTCATAAAATCATATCAGGAGCTTTGTACTGTTTAGCATGTCACTGAATGGTAACCAGTGCAACTTGAATTTCAATTCAATTCAATGGACTTTATTGTAACACATACATAATTATGTATCCTTACAAATGGCGAAGTCTGGCCAATGGCCATTTATACTTAACCATAAATGTCAATGCTTATTACTACCTTCAAAATAAAATAAAAAAAAAAACTGAAAAAGAAAAGGAAAAAGAAGAATAATAGTAAAAGAAGAATTAATAAATATGACATAATGCGTACGATTAGAACAAAAATATAATACCTACGATTCAAAGAGAGGACAATAACCTAAGAGCTCAATAAGTAGTTTTTATATTTTTTTTTAGAAAAGTTGCTGATGAAACATTGTTCGAAAGAGTTGATCAATTTCACCGCATTATACGTAAAAGACCGTTGAAAAATGGCTGTCCTATGTTGTGGCATTGTCAGGAGATTAATGTTGCGCGTATTCAAATTGTGAATTAAATTCCTACGAACAAGCTTTTGCATAAGATAAACGGGAACAGAAGTTTTTAATATTTTTACGACAAATGTAACAAAGTTGTATTTGATTGAATTTAAATCCAATAATTACATTGTAGTGTGTGTCAGTCATTTACAAAAGCAGCTATCACTTTTTTCTATTCCATCAAATGGATTTATTAAAAACCGTTCAACTGCTACAAATCTAGTTACCATAAGCCTTCGATCGAATAAATCTTGATGTATTGCTTGGAAAGTTAATCAAATTTGGTTTTTCTAGTGATGCTTGGGACCTTTTTGAATCTTATTGATCTTTGAGGTGGCAATTTGTTTCTTATAATAATTTTCGTTCTGATACTTACTTAACCTCATCCGCTGTTCCGCAAGGTTCAAATGTGGGTCCGTTGCTGTTTTTGCTATTCATCAATGATTTATGTGAAGATTTTCAGAGTGAGCGTTTATGTTTTACGGATGATTTGAAAATATATTCCGTTATCAATGATTTAAATGATTTGGTAAACATATTGAAGCATTAGTTTCACATTCTATATAGTTATATGGATTTGGTGTTAGAAACTGTAGACATTTCCAGAACATAAGAACCATTAAGCTACTGTATTTTGCTTTTGTGAGGTCTAAACTGGAGTAGTTATGATGGGGCGTAAATCGACTACGAATAGGGTATAGAACAAATTTGAAATCGGTTTATTTAAAATACTATTAAGTTTTCAACGACAGTCCGTATAATTGATCTATATTCGTTTTGCAGGAGCTGCCGCGCATTTTGGTCGCAACGATTCTCTACCGACTCAATCAGATACGGTTCCATACGATGACTTATTCAATACGAAAACTCCAAGAGAACTTCCCGATGAGATAATGGAGTTTGACCCGCGTGCGGATTCCAGCACTAATGCCGCCCCAGTCACATCACAATCAAAACAGGCTGTGGAATTTGGTGATTTTGAGTCCGTTTTCGGCCCCCCGTCGTCAACGAAGCAGCCGGCTAACGATGATGGCTTTGCGGACTTCAATTCGGCATTCACGATGAACCAGCAACCATCAACTGCCACGCAGCCTGTACAGGATGTGCTTGCCGGGAATCCTCGCGCATTACCTACAAATCCGATACATCCGGTAAGTTCAAACGTTTTTATTAGTGTATTGATAACGTATTCAGGATATTTGCTCATTATATCTCAACATATACTAAGTGACATATAAATCCGAACACCCAGTTTAAATGTTTTTATTTTAATAAAAAAAATTTCAGCCTTATCAGTTGGACATTCCGGTTTTTATACTGCTTTTTTTTTTAATTCACTAACGCTCTAAAAATGAATATTTCAGCCGCAGTAAAGAATCAACGTTGGCGGATTTTGATTCTTGACATCCTTTACGATCGGTTACGATGCCTAGAGCACGGAGACCTGTACGATTTCGTCAACTTAGTGAGTTTGATAGGGGCCGTATAGTGGGACTTCGGGAAGCTGGACTTTCTTTTCGGGCAGTTGCAGTTAGAGTGCAAAGAAGTGTAGACACTGTGGTTAGGTGTTGTCAGGCAGGGCTTCGAGAAGGCCGTAGGCAAAGAGCAAAGGGCACTGGACGCCGCCGTAGAACAACAGACCGTGAAGATCGACGCCTAAGATTATTGGCCTTAAGGGACCGTTTCTCCACTACCAGGCCCATTGCAAATGAATGGTTTGCAGAACGTGGAAGACCTATTGGCACGCGAAGTGTTTACCGACGAATGAGAAGTTTTGGCTTGTTTTCGTACCGGCCACACTGGGTCCTCCCTTTAACTCGAGAACACCGACGTAATCGCCTTGAGTGGTGCAGACAACGGTCACTCTGGGATCAGGAATGGAACAGTATTGTCTTTAGTGACGAGTCTCGATTTTGTTTAGGCATGCACGATGGTCGTGCCAGGGTTAGAAGGCGACGTGGTGAAAGGAGGAATCCACAGTTTTTTTGTAGAAAGACATGTTCATCACACTTTTGGAGTTATGGTTTGGGGTGCTATAGCTTATGGTTGCAGGTCACCTTTAATCTTCATCAGAGGTCATATGAACGCGCAGCGTTATATCCACGAAGTTCTAGAACCCCATCTTTTACCCTATCTTGACACCCTGGCAGATCCAATTTTCCAACAAGGTAATGCCCGACCACATGTTGCAAGAGTCACAATAGACTTCTTTCAACATAATGATGTCACATTGTTACCATGGCCACCAAGATCTCCCGACTTATCCCCAATTGAGCACGTGTGGCATATGATGGGTAGGAGATTGCTCAATTTGCAACATCCTCCTCAGACTCTAGAAGCACTTCGAGAGGAGTTGGTGGTTGCCTGGAATGAGATACCACAGGAGGACATTGACCACCTGATCAGAAGCATGCCTAGGCGCGTTGGAGAATGCGTAGCACATCAGGGTGCATCCACACATTATTAAAGGTCAAAGGGCTTTAAAGCAGTGCAAACATTTTGAAATTTTTATCATTTACTTATTATGCTTCATTAAGCACTTTTACAAAATTTTATTAAAATAAAACCATTTAAACTGGGTGTTCGGATTTATATGTTACTTAGTATACATGTCACATTAAGTTATAATAAAACATACGTGTTTAGTTTACTTTAATAGTTTAATAAAATATTTAAGAAAATAAAATGTTTCTCCACTTTTGCTCGGTAACGTATGTTTCTTGGATATTGTATGAGATGTACAGGGTGGCCAACTAAGGATGCGAGGTACTGTATCTGGGAACTTATCCATCGTGAGAGGCTTGCGACAAAAATGGTTATTTCCAAAACGGCCAAGAGAAAAACCTGGACAATATTTTCGAGTTTCTGAAATGGTCGCTATAGGGTGTAACTGCAATCTTGAATCCAAAAAAGTGATGTTTCTATGAATTCCGCTATATTAACCTAAAAAAGAAATACCTGATCCTTAAATTCGAGTGTAAACTGAACCTTTTTTGTTTGACAATTTTGCTGTATCTCTAAAAATAAAGTGGTGGGGGGTATTCAAAGGTTCCGTAAAAAACACCTTGTATCTATGAAACGGCTGAGCCGATTTTAACAAACTTGGGATAGCTGAAAAGAGCTATTTTTGGGATACAAATGTTGTAATATTTGAAGTTTTGTTGGTATCACATGTAGTAGTAGAAAGATTTATTTAGCACATTTGGCTACATAAACAGAATAATTGTAAACAACTTAGAACTAGTAAATTCAAGCCATATGGTGTATGATGTAAATGCTGGGCAACCTATAATTGTAGACTTAAGAAGTGATTTCTCAATTTTACTTTAAATTTTGTCAAAGTTTTCTGGTCTTTTATCTCCGAGTATAATTTATTATATTAAATCAACCCTTGATGGAATACAGATTTGTAGCATATCTTATACTTTTTGGTCATTAAATGGGGGTCATCTTTATTTCTGGTATTATGTAAATGATGGTCGACATTTGATGATGTTAAATTAGTTAGACTTGATGGAAAAATATTATTTTTTACTTTATAAATGAATATCATTACAAGATATTTGATAAAAAAATTTACATTGAGCCATTTTAATTTGCTAAGCATTTGCCTAATTGGAGTATACATATTTATCTTTATTTAGTATTATTCTCATGCACTTATTTTGTAAAATTTGCAGTCTTTCAAAAATGGAATTATAGAATAGTCGAACAGTACAAGAAATTTGGAAGAATGATGGTATTATAGATAATTTTTCTGCTATATGAACTCAGACATCCAGAAACTCTCGATAAATATCCCACTTTACTACTAATCTTATTTATAACTTTTTCATAATGAATATCAAAATTTAATCGAGAGTCAACAAAAACCCCCAGGTATTTAAAATTTTCTGCGAATTCAATATCTTCACCATCAATATTCAGTTGAACATTTGTACATTGTTTTTTTCCGATTAACAAGGCTTTCGTTTTACTTGCATTTAATTTTAGTCTGTTAGATGCTAACCATTTTGAGACAAGCTTCAAGTCTTCATTTATATAAGAGATACCAGACTGAATATTTTTAGTACTTATACGAGTATAAATCATATTGTCATCGGCGAAAATCTGAATTTTGCATTTTTTGACTATGGCAGGTAAATCATTTATGTATAAAATAAAAAGAAGTGATCCCAGGATACTGCCCTGTGGAACACACAACGTATTTTCAATTTTTGATGAAATAGTGTCATTAACTTTTGTAACTTGCATCTTTTTAGACAAATAATTTCTAAACCAATCTAAAACACTTCCTGTTATACCATATCCCTTCGATTTACCTAACAAAATATCTCTATCAATCTTTTCAAATGCCCTCTTCAAATCCAAAAATACTGCTATGACAACTTCTTCTGCGACTCCAATTCTCAGTTACCAACTGGAAAGCTGTTTCTGTGGAATATTTTTTTCGAAAGCTTGCTTGCGCCTCCACTAAAATTTTGTTTTCATCTATAAACTGCATTAATTGGTCATGCACTATGGACTCTAATAATTTTTCAATGTCTGGTAACACATTTACTGGTCTCATATCGCTGCATCTTTTAGAATTATTTATTTTGGGAACTGTTGTTATTGTAGAGCATTTAAAATTTTCAGGAAAAGAACTGCTTCTCAGTGAACAATTGATCCAATTTAGTACAGGATATCCCAAAATTTCGAAACAGTTTTTCAGCACGTTTTTAGTAGTGATTTCGGCACAGTTGTTATTTGATTTTAAACTGTTTACTTTTTTTCTTAGATAATTCAATGATACGCTGTGAAATTTTGAAAGTGTATGCAACATATCCCCATGGAAACTGATTTGGCCGCTACAGGGCCTTTTCGACATTCCGACAGAGATGGTTAATTTTCTCAAAAAAATTAAATGCATGTACGACTTTTTTTTATGAAAAAGTAGCTAAATGATGTCTAAACAAGCTCGCGAAAACTCCATCTCGATTTCTTGTTCATAACTTAAACTTCCATTTTTTAAACTATTGTTTCTGGAATTTCTTTTCATTATTAAGTTGTGGCTCTAAAAAGGACCGATATAAAAAAATAAAGGTTTTAAGACAGTGCATAATGACGCGCGACGAATGTGCGTCTCAAGGCGCTCAACTACACTTTTACGAACTCTCTCAATATTTCCCGGAGTACGAACAGTTCGAATACGGCCCGACCTTGGCAAGTCTTTGATTTGACCTGTTTTCCGCACCAACTGACGAATGGTGTTGACACACATTATTTTGATCGAAATCTTGTCGTAGCTTCCGAATCGTTGTAACAATTATTTAAGTAAAACGTTTTAACAATACCGACGCTTTGTGGGATCGTGTAGCGCTCCATGATGAATTGGACACATGTGCTTTGAACAACTACTACGGCGCCACCTACTGAAATGCGCGTATCAAAAATGGAGCACAATTTAAATCAGTCAGTTATATATTGGCCATCCTGTATCTAGACCGACCTAACGCAGATTGATTGAATTCTATGTTTTATGTGAACTATTCAAGAATGAGTGTATACATATTTAACAAACTAATCTAAATTCCTTTTGTTGACTTACAGGAAGAACCTTTCATGAGCCAGATGCCAACGCCAAAGCCCTTGATTCCTCCGTTGGGCGCTGTACAAACGCCGGCAACTCCTGCACAAACATCGGCTGCGGCTGACCTTCTGTCCGACCTCAACTTTTCCTCGCTACAAATTCAACAAACCGCCCCTCATATACAGAACAATAATTTCGGATTTGATTTGCTCGATGGCCTCAATCCTGGTAAGTTTCACGGCATTACCTTAGTATATAGTCATAAAAATGATCTGCTCCGATATGTATACATACTAGGGTGTCCCAGCACTGGAGGGCAAACAAATTTTTGTTCGAATTGAGATACCTACGCATACCCTCTATTTTTTCCAATTGACTGTAACATCTCAAAAAATAAATATTGGGATCGGGGAACGACAACGACTTTGAATTTGAAAGTTGATTATGGATATTTATCATTAAAGGAACATTATTTACTAAATTTTCTTTTCAGAGTTTTTTACTGTCAGGATATACCTGCCTGTGTTCTTGTAAGCAACGTAATACAAATTGTTTTTTTTCCTCATCAGCAGTGATTAAGCCATGGAAGTCTTGTTTTAACTTGACTGCTCTTTCTGCCGTATCGTTAACTGCTCTTAGTGTTTGCACCTCGTTCTTAGCGTGTTCAAAAGAATCATTATGAGGCCATGAAGTTGGAAACTCGTCGAGAAAACTGGCATCAATTTTAAGTCGACTGAACAAGGACTTGTTTTTGATTGAAACAAAGTCATCGATATTTTTCTCTGAAAAGAAAAAACGAAGAATAGCAACCACCTAAACGTACTGATTTTGTGCGATCGACCACAGACAATAAACCATAAACAGATGCTTTGTGCTTTTTGGCAACTCATCGGCATCTTCTAGGTTTGGCCTCAGGTCAGGACAAGGTAGGAAAGCATAGCAACTTAACTAAAAAAAATTCAAAGAACTTAACAAAGCATGAATACGACAAACAATGACTATACGAGCCCCTTCCCACTTCAGTTGGCCCACTTCAAGATTTGTACCAAAATATGCCTTTATAAACTAAACATGACGAAACTATTTACTTCTGAAACAATTTATTTTCTCAAAAACATTTTAGATACACTCTAGTCGTAAAAAATACATATTTGAAATTACTTAGACCTATAACTAATAGAACATCTGAACAAATAAACAATCTGCGAATAAATGCGCGAAGTTAACAAAGCAACAATTGAAAGATTACCATTGGGTAACATCACCTTTATTTTTTATTACGCCTGAAATTCTTTGGGGCATAGTGTTAACCAAGTTTTGTCAAAAATTTGGTTTAAAACAATCCCATATTTTTTTAAGCTTTTGTCTCAGTTCGGTGATTGTACGAGCAGGATATTGTCGTAGAACCTTTTTCATCTCGTGCCACAAAGTTTCAATAGGTGGCAGATCTGGACTGCTAGAAACCCATTTCAAAAGTGGTACATTATTTTCTTCCATCCATTTTATAGCCTTTTTTGAGGTATGGCACGCTGCACCTTCTTGCTGAAACACAAAATCTTGGCCGGATGTCAAACATTTTTCCATCACTGGTAAAAGTGATTCTTCTAAAATTGCCAAATATTTGTTTGTATCCACATTTCCATCAATAAAATGAAGTTTTCCTACTCCTTTTGATGACATACTGCCCCAGACCATAATGGATGCTGGAAATTACACTTTTCTCTTCAGAAAGTCGACATGGAATGCTTCATTTTTTTTGCGAATAACTCTACTGCGACTGTCACCAACACAAACTTCGAATCGGGCCTCATCACTCCATTGTATTGCACATCATTGTTGAGGAGTCCATTGTCTATGTTCTTTAGCCCATCTAAGCCGATTTTTCTTCTGCAGTGGAGTTAATAGTGGCTTTTCTTTGGCCTATAAACAAGTTGTGCAACTTTAGGGTTTTTACTTCACTTTTTTTTATAAGAAAACTTACCTTGCAACTGCTAAATCCCAGTTTGTGGGCCTCTCTATGAGTTGTGGACCTCGAAATTCTCCTTCCAATAACGTCACTCCACAGAGCACTTAATTGTAAATAATTGGCACGCCCGTTTTTCACGATTATTCTTCTTAATGCTCTTCGGTCGGCATTTGTGATATTACTTTTTTTCACATATCGTGGCTTAATATTAACTGAACCAGTTACGTTACATCTTCTAACAATATTTCTCACACTGTACCGCGATAAGTCTAACAAAGTTGCAATTTCTGAGTTTGATTTCCCAGAATTAAAAAATTTAATTATCCGTAACCGAGTTTTCTCACTAACCTTTCCTCTACCCATTTTGAAAACCTTAACTACCCAAAACTATTTTAAACGTATTCTGACAGTTGTGATTAATAAAAAAAAATGTCATAGCTTTTTATTTTTCGCAGCCATCTATGCGTTATAGACTTATTTTGCATTGAAATGAAAATAGGTTGATATGCTGTAATTGCAACATGTGTTATTTTTATGCTGCAAATTTGATTAGGGAGTGATAAAGTTTGTGTTTTCTACTATATATTATCAAAATATTCATTGTTAATGTTTTAAACCTATAACACCCTGCTCCATTTTTATTATTTGTGTTTGATAAGAAAAAAACTAAGATTTCAATAGTTGGGCCAACTGAAGTGGGAAGGGGCTCGTAGGTACAAGTGTCATAATCAAGAGTTAAGCGAGTGACACTTTTGTTAAGTGAATATAATATATAAAAATAAACAATATTTGATCTTTCTTAGTAATAAAACTAAAAAATATTCATAAAAACTGGGAATGAAAATTCAATTATAAGTTGTTAAAATGCGATCGCAAAAATATGAGTGCGTTTAAAGTTTGGTTTTCTACAGTAGAACGGATTTTATCACATACAGGGTGTTAATAAATAAAATAATAAAGAAAAGCATATCTGGGACACTAGAGGGCTGAATTGTTGACAGATAATCGTATGCTTTTTGAAGCAAGCTGCCACGATTTCCGCCATTAAAAAAAGATTAATTTCTTGGCTAAGTGTGCCAGATACTCCTTTGGCCTTCTTCTGCTTTGTTTCTGAATGTGCAACGGTTCATTTTCATCTGCTTTGATAATTCCCGCAATTGGAACATCGTCTTCATCACTGCCAATTTGACAATAATTTGCACCTCGAATAAAACATTTATATACTAAATATCACCTAATAAAAAATGTCGGGACTCATACTTAAATTATTAGCCAATCCCGGGATTTTCGAGACAGGTTTTCTTCCGGGATTCTGGGACCCCAGTGTGCACACTTTTCCAGCTCTCGTGAAACTTTTTAAACATTGGAATGTCAGGGCTTGTAGTCTCTTGGTCGATCTTTGATTCAAATACGCCTTTTACCACCAATTCGTAGACGCGATGGCGGCAAGCAAAACTTAGCTTTTCTTTATTAAGTTTCTGTTCGAGATATACGCAGGCACCGTTAATGGGACCAGTATTTGAAGCTGTAGTATCACAACGGAGAATCTGAACTTTATCTTCAAGATCTTGTCGATTAGAGTGAATTTTTCACCAGGAATTTGATGCTTTACGTTCCTTATTAAAAATATTCCCTTTTTATAACTGTGTAATTCCTCCGATATGTTGACTGAACGAAAACGGTTACTAATGGAACAAACGAGCACTGCAATATATGCAAGTTTTTTTAGAGGGTATGCGTGTGAAGAAACGAACTTTTATTTTCTTGGGACACCCTGATACATACTCCTCGAGACATATCAAAACAGACGAAGACCTAGAGTACTCACTCACCCACAAGTGTATATGGTTGGCACTAAATTTTATTACATTTGAATGTTTCCATTTCAAATCAGAGGATTATCAGTATCACGGTATAAACCTCGAGACAAATTTTGTATATCGTATTTTACTAAAAACATGCTTGAAATTCTGCAAAAAAGCTTCCCTCGAGGCTATTTTTAAGATGATACTTTTGACTTTTTAAATGAATGGAATGAAGCTTTTCACCATTGGCATTGGGTGGTCAAGGTCACCTTATTCAATATTTTTAAAAAACTTGGTAGGTATAACAGTACTTTCAAGGTCAAAATAATGTCCACACAAGGTTACATCTGATCGTGAAATATCCAACTCTACCCTTCTCCGATATCAAAAGCGTAATGGACACATTTAAAAAATTATCTTGAGCTTGATTTGACCTTCAAGAGTATGCTCAAGGTTCAATTCAAGGTCCCTCGAGGAAAATCCTAAACTCCTACGGCTACTGTTACTGTACCCCTTGAATATTCTCAAATATCTTGCTGTTCCAGGACTTTAAGAACACCTTGTGTGAACTTTCCATGTGCTTTTTGGACCTACGTTATGCCCTTCTATTGTTTTTTGAATCACCCTGTATAAATCCTCCCTATAGATAATTGAAAAATGCGTGATACCTTTTTGATACTTCTTTTCGTGTTCAGAAAAATCACATAAAATATTGCATGTGCGACAACACTATGGATACTTGTTGATAGACAGGAATCGATCCTTTCGGGAATGAACGTGAAACTTAATTTACGCTCTAGTCTAATCATATTACCAAATTTCCCAGAAATAATTGTAAAGTTTGGTTTTATTGATGCAAGTAATTAAAGGGGGTATTTTTATTCGACGACAAAGAATGAGAAGACGTGTTTTTGGGATTCAATCAAAAATATCAACAGGAACGAAAAAACTCTTTAAAGAAGATTTTTAGATATGAGACCTACAAATTGAGGCCACACGTAAAAAGATCCGACTAATAGCGAAAAACTTATGGCAGAAAACCTAATCAAAATGCAGGTTTTCGCACTTGATAATGCGACATTAATTTCACGTAGCTACTTGAAATTCTTCATATCCGTAGAATTCATACTTGTAAATAACGACAACAAAATCGTAGTAGATTGGTTTAATAATTTTTTAAAATTTCTAATTGTTTATTCCAAAACACCTGTTTCCCGGCCATCACTAGTAGTTTATTGAGCAATATACAGGGTTAGTTCAAATGACATTTTATAGCGTTTACCTTGCCGATATGAATCACGAACCATTTCTAAAGATAAATTTTATTTTATGTGAAAATCAAAGGGCTATGTTTCTTTTTCATAAACAAAGTCAAACATTCCGTATTTGTGAGTAATTGAATAGATGCGCTACGATATTCGAAAAACATAAATTAGAGCGAATGTGTCTATCACCTTTAGTTGCGAGGAAAAAATCTTTTTCAAGATTTCTTCATACTCTTGTGAATACATATTTAGAGTTGAAACTTTTACACGGTCACAGATGAGCCATAAAGTGTATAAAAAAATAGTTGTTTCGTTCCTGCCAACATTTTTGATTGAATCCCAAAAAACGCGTTTTCTCATTCTTTGTCGTCGAATAAAAATTTTTCTCACAAAAATTGATGTACCCATTTTATGCGTCCAGTTTTAAATTCCCCCTTGAACAACTTGTATCAATAAAACCAAACTTTACAATTATTTCGGAAAAATTTGCTGATATGATTAACCCTTAAAACTATTCTCACCAAACGGATCACGTACCTACTGACACGGGTCTTGGTGGGTTCTATGGTCTAATTGTATGGACCTGTTTGACTGACTTTTTTCTCTGTGCTGATAACGGTATTGCGTGTGAAGTGCACAGTCAACCAACTTGCCATGTTTTTTTTTTAATTACCTTTCCTATATTTTGTGGAATGTGAGTGTATCCATTAGTTTTACGGGAAACTGACCATCCGCGTTTCCCGTGTTGCAGATGGTCTGAAAAGTGACAGTGAAATACATCACCGTATAGAAAAGAAAAGAAAAATGGATACCAAAATGCAAGAATTCCGGCGACGTTTAATCAAAGTTGCCGAACGATACCAGCAAATGAAGAAAATCACGTGCCAGAAACAAGTGGACGAGATTATGAGCGACGTAGAAGAGATATTAGAAGAAGTAGGGAATACAGCGACAATACAAAAATTATTAAATTTGGATGATTTTTTAAATGAAGACATACAATGTGCGTACGAATGTTTCCTATCAGCTTTGTTGGATTTGTGTGATGAAAACTTCCCATTTCAAGGCGAAAAACTGTACGAACCCATCAACAAACTATTTACTGTCGAAGATCCTACCTGTTTTATAGTCACTTTCGAGTGCTTGATGGCGCGTCTAAAGAGCAAACTTAGCAACACTATTGTCCGGTTACTACAGTTACTTTTAGAAACAGACGCCTTTTTTGTATTTGCTTGCAAATCGGCGATACCGGATCAGAGACGAGCAGAGGGCAAATTTGTGGAATTTCTGGCATGCGTATTGGAGGACGATTGGAAGAAATTCGTAACAGTGTTTGTGTCGACGCCCAGTAGAGTTGCGAATGCTCTAGAAGGAAAAGTTCCTGATTATTTCTTAGACAAAAATTTCTTCAACTACGTTTTTTCAAATGTCCTCCACTTGATAGAATTTTGCGCAGAGTCCATCGATAGAAAGCTGGTCAGCTTCGAGTCAATTCAATATAAATTCATCGCTATGCTCTTGAGCTCAGTCCTGCGAAATTTCAATCAACAAACTTCTTACGGAGAAACGCACTGTTTCGTCGAAATTTTGGCCTTAATTACAAACTGGGCTCCTTGCAAAAGAAATGCTTATAAGCAAGTGGTGCAAGAGATAGTGCGCCATTTGGAAACAGCCGGAATAGACACGTTTGTGAGAATCGTAATGCAGTTGAATCCAGAAATATATAGTGTGGAGTCCATCTTGGGCAACGTCATCAATTTGGATGAACATTGGAGATACGTTGTGGGGACGAAGCTACCTATGGTGACATATCGTGTATACGACTACGACAACGTGATAATCAATGTATCTTTATACCTCAGCAAAGTATCTATGAAAGATCATGTAAAATTGATAAGACGTCTAGCGAATGACTGGAATAACAGAAACTCTATAAAGCATAACAGTGTCGAAGAAAAGGTATATTTTGCGAAGTTGATGGTATGCTTATTAAGAACTTGCTCTAATTCTGATTTTCCGGATAGTTACTTGCAAGATTTGCAAGAGGTAATAAGATTAAGCGTGCCAAAGCATTTAGAGTCCACTATTATGGAAATTAGAGCTCTAGGGATGAAAGTCGCCGAAATATATGTGAATCGACTGAGCAATGAAAAAGAAAAGCTAAAATTTGATTATGACGGTATGAAACCAGAACCGTTGAGAATCGTGAAGGAATTAGATTACTTAACAGACAAAGACTTCGACAAGTACTGTCAGAGTACGGTGATTGATTTTGACGTAAAGATTAGAGAATTGTACGAAAAATTACAATGCAAGAATCGGAGGGTTCAAGAATGTATTTCAGTTCAAAGGAATCTAGGAAATTCGACTTCCGCTCAAGATGCAACGAATGAAATTGTAATAGCCGAAATAAACAACCTACCGCCCAACGTAAAAATAATCGATCCAGATTTTGAATTAGACAGCGATGATGATCTGGAGCCGTACGATACGTCGAATGACGTGAAGCGACCAAAAAACCGCCTCCTGTTTACCTGAGGGATTTACAGGAAGCTCTTCTCGAAACGGAAGACGGCGATCAATTTGAAATTGCGTTACAATATTGCGAATCGCTCATCGCCGAACAACTGCCCGATGACAATGTGTCTTTGGGTATACAATTCCTCGAGATACTCGTATCGTTGGAAGCCAGGTTTTTCGTGGAAGATTTTGAAGGTTTAGTCTTCAGGAGCTGCGTTGCCGCGCTGTGCGTGTACCCGGCTCAGTACTCGGAATACCTCTGCAGGGAGTTTCACGCAGACGTATCGGCGTACTCTATATCCAGGAGGATTTTCATGCTGGACGTGTTGGCCGAGGGCGCTAAAATTCTGTCCGGAAAACCGACCGAAAATAAGGATGAACAGAACAGGACAAATGATCCGAAGCAGAGTAGCGTTGACGAAGTTATCGGATCGAGATTAGCGCTCAAGACGAAATACTATTGGAAACATCAACCTACCAAGAGGGAATGTGTGAATAGGTTCTCGGAGTTTGCTGGTCGTTACTTCTTTCATCTCATGTACGGCTATCAGGTGAGTTTGAAAAATAGTTTATATTGGCTGGCATGTTACAAGTTATCGTTCTTATTGTCGTGTGACTTTGCAAGTTGTCCAAAGGGCAAGCACTACCCTATTACCACCACTCTGACGTCTATGTAACCTTTTGCGGCTGGGCGTGTTTTCTTATTCTGAAATCTTTTAATTTCATGTTACAGGTATATTGAATTAGTACTAGTTCAAATTTCGAAAACCTTAAACCAGTTATTATCCGAAGTAATTGGGTATTTCTCAACAAATTTAGAAATTTCATTTAGCATTTCTTGAAAAAAAGTTAATGAAAATATATCATTTTTTTGCAGAAATATAAAGTTTTACTTTAGTCAGGTTCATTGCAAATGAAAGTCCTCCATATTTTTGTTTATAACATGTAGAAAAATGACTATGAAATGAGGGAATGACTGATCGGATGGGGGAATGGGTTTTAAAACTATTCGATGCTGAATTTCAATGCAAAACATAAGTTAATTTATTAATAGATGTATTGAGATTCGTTTCATACTGTAGAGAGCTTAGATAGCCTTTCTTCCCTGGACACATCCTCATATTTTCATCCTTCTCTAAGAAATTAACAACATCACCCTTAACTTTCAGCATTTTGGTGCTAACTTTGGTACAGTTCTTTTTGTACGTATCGATTTTGACAAAATGTTCGATTTGTATTTGCACTAATTGCAGCTTCAACATTTTTTAATATTTTTATTTTTTCTATGTTTACTTCCAAGATCTTCATAGTTATTCTTGAGGTCCGTTGATAGACCTTCTCCGAAAGTCTTTTTCTTACGACGTCAGGAACTTGTACATTCTTTAAAAGCCAAAACACTTTAATTGCTGGAGAGTTTGGGTCAGTATTTTCAGTTTTCAATCTCATACACCTCTTCTTATATTTTTCGCTAAGCTTGATTGCGTTCTTTACGTTATTTTCCAAATTATTAATCTTTGCGTACAGAATAGTTCGCCGCTTGCGCATTCTACGTCTATTAACAGCAGACAAATTCTCTGCTGTGTGCCGTAAAGATGGTGCAGGACTTGGTGGGGTGTTTCTTCAACTCTGAAAATTTGTTTGTAATGTAACTCGATTTTCCCTATAAACTTTACTATTCTTCTTCCTTTGTTTTCGTTTTTGGCTAGCTTCTCTTGCACTCATAGAACTTATTAGCTTAACTTGACCTTTACTTTTCTTTAAATACTTTAATTTCTTTTTCACGCAAATCTTCTAAAGACATTACTTTTCATTTTTTGTTCTCGTCTCTTCATGTCGTACTCCTTCTTTTTTAATTTCTTTTCTTCTTCACTTAACTTCTTAATTTTCCCCATTCTTGATATACGGAAATCTCTTAAAATTGAAAACATATGCTATACAACCTGGAGTTAAACAATAACACCCAAACCACAATTTTGTATATGCAAAAATCATTCCCTCATATAATTGTCATTCCCTCACTTTCTAATAGTGAATGAAAATCTATATTTCGTCTTGTATAATAATTGTGGTAATGATTATTCAATTCTATGTAGTGTTCGAAATGTTGTGGCAAATTTTAAATATAAAAATAAGAACCAAATATGATATGAAATTTTTTATATTCAACCACTTCAATTCTTGTAACATCAATTTTAATTTGGTGTACTTATTTTTATTCAATATTATTCTCATAGCTTTATTTTGCAGGACTTACTTTAAATATATATATATATATATATATAGGTGAAAAATTAAAGCTTCCGCCTTTTGTTGGGTACTTCGACAAAATTTAAGCAAAGATGACTCTTTATACTTTATTAATCTCTAGCTTTCAATAGACTTTGAACGTTAATTAAATTTAGCAACAACCTCACATACTGCTGTAAGTTAATTCAAAATCATTTTGCACAATAGTTGCTATTTCTTCGCAACGCTATTGCAGCTCCTGATGAAGATGGCAAAATCCATTGAAAGCTAGAGATTAATAAAGTATAGAGTCGTCTTTGCTTGAATTTTGTCGAAGTACCCAACAAAAGGCGGAAGCTTTATTTTTCACCTAACTGGTCCTAACGACAATGGCCACGTCTCAATTTATATATACGAGTATATACAGGGTGACAGGTAAATAGGTGTAAAACATATTAGGAGGTCATAGTACGGCTCCTTTGCTATCAAAATTAGTATATAATACCATACCCTATATTCAAAGGTTAAAAAGTTATGGAAGATTTAATTTTTTTTAAAAAACAACCCAGATTACAGAGTAAAATAGTAGAGATATAAAAAGTTGGTGATTAAACATTCTTTTTTTGGTGGTTTCAGGTTATTATTTAAATAAATAATTCTCATAAATTAAAAAACATATGAAAACACTACTGAAAACGTAGTTATTTTCATTTAAATGTGAAATGAAAGTTTTTATTTTCAATTTTCACGTTAAGAAGTCTTTTTTTTAAATCATAATAAAGAAAATGTACAAATTACTGCAAAAACTTCCTCGTTTAATTAGGTTTCTAAAATGGTATAATAACATATCAGTAAGTAAACCATTTAACAAAACAATATTACTTTGCTAGAAAGGACCGCTAAGCGCATTTCATTGTACTGAGCAGGTAAACCGAGCCTTTCATGGTTCGACCCTTTTTATTATTTTTTGTGGGCTGTGCCGTTATTCGGGTTTAAGTATTCGGAATCTGTCGTCGCTCCTCGGAAGCAAGCTCTGCGTGTGTTATGAATTGACACAGCTGCCGGATCATGAAAAGGGAACTAACGCTTAGGTTAGTTAGTAGAATATCAACTTTTAACGCGGTAGAACGTACTTTCACTTTTTTGATCAGTTTTAATAATGGCGAGTTACCGTAACGAAGAATACGCTGATACTCTGTTTTGTTATGGTTTAATTGATGGAAATTCCGTTGAAGCCAGGCGAGAATACGAAAACCGTTTTCCGAATCGGCGAATACCGAGTCATCGGGTATTTGCTTCTGTGTAGCAACGCGTCAAGGAAAGTGGACAGGTTCATGAGAGACGTCATGATGCTGGTAGACCTCGGTTGTTTGACGACGAAGATCGAGAGGCAATACTGGAATGCTACGGCAGAGACCCGACGACGTCTACACGAGTTATAACAAAGCAGCTTGGTTTAACTCAGTGGAAAGTTTGGTTCGTTTTGCATTCGGCGAGACTTTACCTTTTCCATTACACACCGGTTCAAGTATTAGAAGAAGGAGATCCCGCAAGAAGAATTGATTTTTGTCGATACATGCTTCGGGATCAAGAAGAAAACGACTATTTAACTAAAATATTGTGGACCGACGAGTCTAAGTTTGACAGAGAGGGAACAACAAATTATCACAACTTACATTATTGGACCCCACGAGAGGCAAATCCCCACATGGCAAAGCTAAGAGCCTATCAAAGAAAATTTTCGGCAAACGTGTGGATGGGAATCATTCATACGTATCTAATTGGACCAGTTTTTTTGCCTGACAACCTGAATGGCGAATCCTATGAAAACTTTTTGAGATCCGAACTCTGGGAGTATCTCGAAGACCTGCCTCTGAATATCAGGATGCAGATGATCTACCAACACGATGGCTGTCCCGCGCATTTCCGTCTGGGTGGACGAGAAATATCCTTGTCGCTGGATTGGCCGAGGTGGACCGACACCGTGGCCAGCGAGGAGCCCAGATTTAACACCGTGTGACTATTATTTATGGGAGCACATGAAGTCACTGGCATTCGCTGAGCCCATAGACACTCTTGCACAGTTGAAAGAAATAATTATTGCTGCTGCTGACACTATCAGAGGACAACTAACTGGCCGCATCACGCGTACCAACATGAGAAAAAGACTACGGGCTTGCATAAGAAACGGCGGGCGTCAGTTCGAACAACAATTACAATGAATGTTACCTTTATTTCATTATTGTATTTTACTTACCAATTGTAGTAACTTTTACTCAGTTTTTATTATTCTGTAGTACAAATACAACTGTGTAAATAATCTAATCGTGTAACTTAACCGTAGTTTAAAATAATAACTATCCCATAGCTTACAGTTACATTATTTTCACAAAAACACTTTCTTATCAATCAGAGAGTTGTGAAAATAGGAGACAAGCCATTGGTAAATTTACTCCCTATTGTTGTATTACAATACATTATGTTTAGTTTCACGCAGTTTTTGTGCACTTATCATACCAATTTAGATTCCTTATGAAACAAGGATATTATTTAAATTGTTTGTACGTTTTTTTGTATACTGATTTTTTTGTAAAACACCTTACTTACTGTAAAACGTTATTTGTTTTTCTTAGTTAAACATTTTTGAATGAAAATAAATACGTTGTTTGATATTGTTTTCGAATCTTTTTTAATTTATAATAGTTAATTATTGAAATAATAACCCAAAACCACAAAAAACAAATGTTTAATCGCCAACTTTTTTCTCTCTCGACTTTTGTACTCTGAAATATGGATTGTTTTTAAAAAAATCTTTAATCTTCAATAACTTTTCAATCTTTGAATATACTAATTTCGATAGCAAAGGGGCTGTACTATCACCTCCTAAAATGTTTTACACCTATTTACCTGTCACCCTGTATAACGTCGATCGTGAATAGAAAAAAACCTGTTAGACAATGTAAATCCTAGAACAACATCTCAACCTGCGCATGGAGTTATTTTATTTAAAATTGCACTATTTCATAGTTATACTTTCTTTTTGCAGTTCAACAAGATGCTGCATTCGTCGTCCAGTGACTATACGCTGCTGGAGCACTACATTCACACGTTGGCGGATATAGCGCTACACGCAACAAACACGCCGGCCGCAAACAAAATAGTCGAAGAGTCTCTCCGCTTCACGTGGTTATTGCGAATCCACGAAGAGGCGAAAGTCAGAGCCGCCGTTATCAGGCTGGTTGCGGTTTGTGTGCAGTCGCTACCGGAAAGCGTACTGCTGCAACATTATAGCGACGAACTATTTAATATGAGATTTTGGCTCTCTGATGTGCTCCATCCCGTCAGGGGAGAGACGAACACGCAATGCAGAACGTTCGCTGCCGCTCTGGCTGTCATGATAGACGCTGTGTTCAAGGACAATCAAGAACAGGAGAGTCATTCGATGTATAGCTTTTGAATAGTTGCGGAAAACCGCTTACCCGGTTGTATAAAAATATTATAAAATGAAAAGCATCACATTGATGCCAACAGTTTGTCAATTGATCGGCAGTGAACTCAACAGGGTGTCCCAATATTCCGTTGACATAGAAGTACCACTCAAAATAAGACGATTGAACATGATGTAAATCTATACAAGTGCTTTGTAAGATACTTGAAGAGCCGATAGTTCGATTTGAATTAAATTTGGAACACGTATGTTTTACTCGACGTTCTAATATTTAAACTGAAAGAGTTCTAGAAGAGTGAACAGTTTCCTCATAGAAGAATTTCCCGACGACTTTTTTTATATGAAGCTGTTGTCAAAAATAATCTGACACTGGGATAACGTCCCATATTTCCACCAACTACGAGGGCGGTTCCAGAAGTACCCGACCCAACGAAGAAAACACAAAAATTTTGTAAAAAAATGTATTTATTTTTCAACATAACCTCCTTTGAGCTCTATACACTTTTCTCAGCGATGTTTAATAAGTTCGATACCCTTTTTATAATAAGAACTGTCTTGCTCCTCAAAATAGCCATTAACTGCCGACATCACTTCTTCATCGTTGGAAAATCTTTGACCACTGAGCCATTTTTTCAAGTTTGGAAACAGAAAATAATCCGAGGGGGCTAAATCTGGTGAATAGGGTGCATGAGGTAGCAATTCAAGCTTTAATTCGTTAATTTTGGCCATTGCAATAACGGATTTGTGAGCTGGTGCATTGTCTTGATGAAACAACACTTTCTTCTTAACCAAATGCGATCGTTTTTGCTTGATTTCATCGCTCAAACGTTGCAATAAGTTCGCATAATACTCGCCGTTGATAGTTTTACCTTTTTCAAGATAGTCAATGAAAATTATCCCACGCGCATCCAAAAAAACCGACGCCATAACCTTGCCTGCAGATGAAACGGTCTTCGCCTTCTTTGGAGCCGGTTGTCCCTTTTGAATCCATTGTTTTGATTGTTCTTTTGTCTCGGGTGGGAAGTGATGGACCCATGTTTCATCCATGGTTATGAAACGCCGCAAAAATTCTGCTTTGTTGCTGTGAAACTTCGCTAAACACTCAATTGAAACATCTTCACGACACTGTTTTTGCTCGATTGTGAGCAATCGCGGCACCCATCTTGCACACAGCTTTCTCATGCCCAAATTTTCAGATAATATGCGATGAACCACACTTTTTGAAATGCCTACTATGTCTGCTAGCTCGCGCACTTTCAGTCGACGATCATTCAGTACCGCTTTGTGGATTTTCTTCACCATTTCTAGAGTCGTCACCTCATTTGGTCGACCACTGCGATGCTCGTCTTGTCAGCTCATACGGCCTCGTTTAAACTCTGCTACCCAATATTTTACTGTTGTAAACGAAGGAACAGACTAACCCAGAGTAGAATCCAGTTCAGCTTTTATATTGGTTGAGCTGAGGCCTGTGAAATAAACGTATTGTACCACATAACGATGACCAATTTTCTCCATTTTCACAAATTCACTGAAAACGTTCAGTATTGATGGCTGCCAAACAAATTCTAAACAACGTGGCGTCTTCAAACTTGACACATATGCTTTATAGGTTGCATACTTTCTAATACAATGATATTTTTCAAACAACTATCGCTATCTCTAGGTCAGGTCGGGTACTTTTGGGACCACCCTCATAGATACCTACTAGATTTACTTGATGTAATAAGATTTTTTTTAAACCAACTCCGAAAAACATTTTTTTCTTCTTGAAATCTATGACAGATACAAAAAAATGTTGTAAATAAAAGAATCGTCGTTTTGAGATTTGCGAAAAAATCTGCTACAATTTATGTAGCGGTGGGGGTAGTTTTCACCCTTCGTGGACCGTTCCGGATTTTTTGTGAAAGTCAAATACAGGGTGGGCCATCAAGTTGAGCGGATTTTAAGAAAACTACAAAGCGTAGGGAAGATAATTTCTATTTTTAATAAAGTAGACACATGGGAATTTTATTGTTTTAAAATAACATCATTGAGATGTTAACTATCGAGACGTACGCACTCCTCGAATCTCGACTTCGTGAAAACTCAACAAATGCTGTGGCTGAGCTTGGCAATCGTCGGTTTATTGGCGTAAGTTTTCCACTAAACATTTCGTTTACAACTGTTAAAGACTCGGTGCAGGTATTGGATGTCTAGCCATTTTGTTGAAACCATCTCCTGCTATCGTAGGCTTCAAAATTATGCAGTTGTGGAAAGAAAAAGCTACGTAGCATAGCTGAGTAGCGATTAGGATTTACTGTTAGTCTGACCTTGCTCATTTTGGAAGCAATAGGGTCCGATGACTCCTTCAGCCGACATGGCCGCCCAAACTGTAACGCGAATGCAAAGGTCGTTGGTGTTTTAATTTGAGATATCCTGCGGCCCAATACGGGGAATGCGGTTTTGAAATTCGTACGTATTTCTGGTCCACCCTGTATTAGGACAGCATGTGTTCCAAATTCCATTCAAATAGGACTATCGGTTCCAAAAATATCTGAAAAAAAGGTTTAAAAAAAAGACTTTGACGCCATCTAACGGACAAACTAAGCACTTTTGTATAGAGGTAAATCTTCTCTAGTCGACTTATTTTGAGTCTAAAAATACGTGGTACTTCTATGTCCACGGAATATTGAGACAGATGCATTCCGACTTGAATATAGAAAATTGCAAAACGGCGTAATCCATTTATTGCAAAATTTTGTGCATTATATACTATACAAAAGGTTTTCGATACTGTCGCTTTTTAATGTAAACTAACTGGAGCAGTTTGAAAGAAACAAGCAAGAATGAGGTTGTGCGATAATTCGTAATTTATTTGTCTTAATTATATTTCTTTTATATCACTTAGCAATAAAATTTTAAACTCGGTTTTTATACACAAAGATTTCATTAAAAAATTGTAAGCAAATGATGTTATTGGAGTGCCATGAACAGTTTACCTAATATTTGTTTGTACTTTTGAAATACAATTACATACTAGATACTCAAGTCAAGTCTTAGGCCCGTATCGTCAGTCGTCCCTACAATTGTAGGGCTTTATGGCCTCATTGATTGTCATAGTTTTCTACTTCTCCGTGTCAGAACTCTATTTTGAGGTTATGTCACAAACATCTATTTGCATCAAATTGTGCTTGCTTTTGAGTTATATCATGTTTTATCAGCCTGAAATTTCCTACAATTTAAAAAGAAAACATATCTTCACAATAGGAGAGCGCTGACGCTGACACGGGACGAGTGCAACCTAGACATTTTTGAAGGAGAGAAAGGAGTATGACAATCAAGGAGGCCATAAACGCGCCCTACAATTGTAGGGACGACTGACGATACGGGCCTAAGTGTTACCTAAAAGTGATATATCTAATATCCATATGTACTATTTTTCTAAAACATTTTCTATGTATCAAGCCAGAATCTAACTTTTATCAAAATAAAGCAATTAAAATAAATTGTGTCAATAGATGCTTTGTTCACCAAATATTTGTCCTTAAATACAACTCGTGAAATAGTAGTGGTACATCAAAACTCATAAATGCTGAAGCGACTTTCTTTCAAAATGTTTTTTAAGTTTTACCCCATCCAGACCAGCGTTTTTTAACTTTTCGGTTTCTCGGACAAGTGATGTTTGGATGTTCTGTTATATAGAACGTTTATGAACCATTTAGCAATTTTAGGAAACATCAGAATACATGTCAGTATAGAAGGAACTAAAATTGTAAAGTTCTGCGAGCGTGTGTAACCATGTCTTACACATTTTCGTTGCAGCATTGGTCTAGTGAATAATCTTAGTTTCAAAACTCAGCGTACCCTTTTTGAGAAAACAAGTGTTGTGTTTTGTATGTTCTTTTCGAAATAAACGATAAACATTTGAACCTGCCTTTTCTTTTTCATCCGATATATAGATGATATCGATTTTATATTTATGTAATTGTACAGGGTGTTCATTTGAAAACGTTCCACCACGGATTTATCGAAAACCACTGATTAAAAGAAGAATCGTCGAGACACATCAAAAGATTTATCAAGGGGGACAACTATTTAAACCAAAAACTACTTCACCCCCTTTCACCCTCTGCCCCCCAGCGTAGCTTGTTTGAAGGGTCTTTCGAAGTCCTTCATTTTGACGTTTGATTTTTAAAATCGGTTGATTCGTTTTCAAGAGAATTGGAAAAATCTTTATTTATCTTAATTTGTTCAGACAAAAAACAAAAACCCACGAAAATATTGCTTTTTATTTCACTAAGTGGTCAAAATGTTGCCCGTTACTACTAACACTACTAACTGCTAACATAAACAGCATTTCGGAAGATTAGACGTGGCAACAACCAAATAACGACCCGATTTTTTTCCACATTCTTTTCATCCTGGGCGAACTGTATTTATTGTTATACCTTTCTAGTTATTTGTTGCTAAGGGAAAGAAAGAATTTAATTTGCTGTCAGTTACTTGGGATAGTGAAAATTAATTTATTGATTCAGATTCTACTTCCAAAATGGTTTACACACTATCCGAAAGAGTGGAAATGATTCTAAATTATGGTACCCAAAATCAATGTGCTCTGCAAACTGCCATCACGTTTACCGCCAGACATCCGGGGAATAATAATAATAATGCGTTTATTGCCCAACAGTGATCACCATTTACAGAGCAAAAAGCAGTAGTATAGCTTACATGGTAGTTACAGCACAAAATATAAAACAGAAACATGAAAAACTTGACCAAAATCCATTATAGATGGGCGCGAGATTTATTCTTTAATTCACAGACACTGCAGTGAAAAATATCACATGCACTTGAAATTTTGTTGGCATTTCGGCACATAAAATTGATTGGAGCCTTTAGTAGTAAGTTAGTTTGAGCTCTTTTGCACAGGAAAGTCCTGTATTGTCTAGATGTTATTCTAGGAACCAGAATATCTACTTGATCTAACAATACAGGACAATCTACTTTTAAAATGGAAAAGCTTGTGCAAGAAAAGTACAGATAACTGATATCTACGGCTCTCCAAAGACTGATAATCAAATCTATGTAGCAGCTCAGGATAACTACAGCCTCTTAGTGGATACACACCATCGATTTTAAAAGCTAAGAATTTAAAAAATGTCTTTTGTGCTTTTTCAATAGCAACGATATATTGGCCATATGTTGGACTCCATACGAGTGAGCCATATTCCAGTTTAGATCTTACTAGACTGAAATACAGAGACGATAATGCTGAGGTGGCATTGAAACTCTCTCGCCGACTTGACCTTCAAATCACCTTGAAGGTCATGGTAAAGGTCATAAGCAAGGTCAGTTGAATAGCTGGAGAAACCTGTCAATCGCGGCGCTCAGTATTTTCTTACCAATCCGTAGCATTACAATATAGCTGTAATTATTGTCTCGGCTTTTCCCAGATGATGGATGTCGTATGGGCTACAAAGCTTCTCTTTTGGACCTCTATTTAACTGTCAAAATGCAGCTCAGATTATTCTGTTATGTGACTCAATCGTTATGAATCTGAATGAGTGAACAAGTACGAGCTCCTTGCCACTTCAGTTGGCCCACTTCAAGATTTATACCAAAATATGCCTTTATAAACTAAACATGACGAAACTATTTACTTCTAAAACAATTTATTTTCTCAGAAACATTTTAGATACATTCTAGTCGTAAAAAATACATATTTGAAATCACTTAGACCTATAACTAATAGAACATCTGAACAAATAAACAATGTGCGAATAAATGCGCAAAGTTAACAAAGCAACAATTGAAAGATTATTATCATTGGGTAACATCACCTTTATTTTTTATTACGGCTGAAATTCTTTGGGGCATAGTGTTAACCATGTTTTGGCAAAAATTTGGTGTAAAACAATCCCATATTTCTTGAAGCTTTTGTCTCAGTTCGGTGATTGTACGAGCAGGTGTTGTCGTAGAACCTTTTTCATCTCGTGCCACAAAGTTTCAATAGGTGACAGATCTGGACTGCTAGAAACCCATTTCAAAAGTGGTACATTATTTTCTTCTATCCATTTTATACCTTTTTTGAGGTATGGCACGCTGCACCATCTTGCTGAAACACAAAATCTTGGCCGGATGTCAAACATTCTTCCGTCACTGGTAAAATCGATTCTTCTAAAATTGCCAAATATTTGTTTGTATCCACATTTCCATCAATAAAATGAAGTTTTCCTACTCCTTTGGATGACATACTGCCCCAGACCATAATGGATGCTGAAAATTTCAGTTTTCTCTTCTCTTCGCCTATAAACAAGTTGTGCAACTTTAGGGTTCTTACTTCACTTTTGTATAAGAAAACTTACCTTGCAAGTGCTAAATCCCAGTTTATGGGCCTCTCTATGAATTGTGGACCTCGAAATTCTCCTTCCAACAGCGTCACTCCACAGAGCACTTAATTGTAAATAATTGGCACGCCTGTTTTTCACGATTATTCTTCTTAATGCTCTTCGGTCGGCATTTGTGATATTACTTTTTTTCACATATCGTGGCTTAATATTAACTGAACCAGTTACGTTATATCTTCTAACAATATTTCTCACACTTTACCGCGATTAGTCTAACAAAGTTGCAATTTCTGAGTTTGATTTCACAGAATTAAAAAATTTAATTATCAGTAACAGAATTTTCTCACTAATAACCCTTCCTCTACCCATTTTTAAAACCTTAACTACGAAAAACTATTTTAAACGTATTCTGAAATCTGTGATTAATAAAAACAATTGTCATGGCTTTTATTTTTCACAGCCACCTATGCGTTATAGACTTATTTTGCATTGAAATGAAAATAGGTTGATATGCTGTAATTGCAACATGTGTTATTTTTATGCTGCAAATTTTATTAGGGAGTGATAAAGTTGGTGTTTTCTACTATATGTTATCAAAATATTCATTGTTAATAATTTAAAGCTATAACACCCTGCTACATTTTTATTATTTCTGTTTGATAAGAAAAAACTAAGATTTCAATAGTTGGGCCAACTGAAGTGGGAAAGGGTTCGTAGTTTTTTGTTCAGGTTCCCCCCTTGGTACGATGCATATACGACTACTGACTTTCAAGTTGTATCACCGTAACTGGGTTTGACCTTGACCATGGCCTCCTAAGGTCAAAATTTAAGAAGGGCCAAGACTATATTTGAACGCAAAATTTGCGTTTCATTTACGAGGTCAAAAATGGGAGGGTTCCATTTAAAAAAAATAGATTTTCTATAAGGTCATGATCGAGGTCAAATTCAAAGTCATATATATGGATAGCTGGGGAAAACTATCAATCGCGGGCCTCAGTCTTTTCTTACCATTATTAATATAACCCAATTCGTAGCATCTCAATAGAGCTATAATTATCGTCTGGACTTTTCCCAGATTATGGATGTCGTATGGGCTAGAAAGTTTTTCTTTTTGACCTCTATTTAAATGTCACCATACAGCTCAGATTAGTGTGTTATGTGATTCAATCGTTATGAATCTGGAGTTTTTGTACAAGTAGTTTTTTTTTGTTCAGGTTCCCGCCTTGGTACGATGCCCGGCGAAGTTAATTTGTTACAACCGTCTTCCATCACGAACAACAACGTAACGTCAAACCAGGAGAAAGGAGAGACGCATAAAACTGCTCAACCAGTAGGCAGCACCTGGGGGAATATCAATATAGATCTAGACAATCTGCTGGTGAACAAACCAAAGAAAGGACCCTCGCCTAGCATGAATCAACTAGCCACAAATCCCAACACTTCCCCGGTTCGACAGCCAATGGTTCCCATCGCCCCTTTACAAAGTCAAAATGACAGCCAACAGCAATTCTTTGCAGCTTTCAAATGATGCGTCTACTAAAATTTTAATGATTATTTTCTTAGGCATCAATATACGCGAATGATATTTAATAAGTGATTGATTATTTCATTTACTTTGGTCCGTGTAATAATGAAATGAAAGTGATTCGGTTTTAGAAGCAAAATTACTATATCAGATTTTTCTCAGTTCGGTATTAACTGTAACATGCACATTACCACCATAATATTACATATAGGTTTTAAAATTCGCTCATATAAGGCCTGTGTGTACGTCTAGTAAGTGTGAAAGGGAAAACACGATTTTTTTTCCTGACACGTTCATTTGCTAAATTGGGAATTTTTTGAAGAATTTTCTCGAATTGGAAAGAATCTTAGTGGGATATGAAACGTAGCGTTTTATATATGCAATTCTCTGTACTTTTTTATAAAAAAAAGTGTTTCAAATAAAAAAAAAGCTTCAGATGCTAAACACATTTCAAGACGAAATTTGTGGAATTTTGCGTTTATTTTCTTTTTACTCGGAAATATAGCCTAAAGAGTGTTTAAATTGCATCAAAAGTTTTGAAATGTTATGAGTATGTTTCAGCTGTAATAATCATTTTAAAGATATTCTAACATAAAAGTGTAGTTTGTTTTTATAAGATTTTCTCAAATACTGAAATTTGAAAAAATAGGATGCAAAATCGGAAGTAAACTCTTCAAGCCATAATTAGGGTAACTATATTCTTTATCCTGATTTTTTACTCCAAAATTTAGCCTAAAGTATGTTTAAATTACACTTGAAGTTTTCACGGTTTCACGGCTTTTAAAAATTGAAATCGATAAACAGTGAAATCTCCTTTGGACGGACACCAGCGGGAACAAATACAACAAAAATCGTGTTTTTAATGAAAACTGAATATCTTAAAGAAACTGGGCCATTTAAAACGTATATGTATATAAATGTTTTCAAAATAAACAAAAACGCTTAAACTTTAGAAAAGATTAATTACTTTTAGATATATAAAAAGTATGTACATATGTATAATATAATATGTATGTACATACATATAATGTGAAGTAACATAAAACAATGAAATAAA